GATGCGTAAAATATCATGCATACAAGCATGCCATCGCATGTGAATGCGTTGGGGGGTAACGGTACCGGGTAATAGATACACGCGTTTAGTCTACTTTCTATTTCCTGAATTACATCTATTTATCTCTTAGAAAATAGTCTGTTCAACAATTATAAATGAAAAATAGGTCCGATATAACAAAATTGTATAATTATAATGGGCTAAATTTTATGTACGGGAACTACTTCTCTTCATACAAAATAATGGATAATTTCGGTACCCCATATGAGGCCTCATAACTAAGGGTTATTCTATGTTTAGAACATGATGGAATTTCCATGATTTGTGTGACGAGCCGAATATTGATGTGTAACGTTCAAATTTTGGTGAGTGAGCGTAATAAAAAATAATGTTTAAGTAACTACGATTTTTGTACGGGAACTGCTCGCATGCCAGTATATGTTAAAGTACTACAACATGATTCTATTTCATTATGACAATAAAAATAAATTTGTCTGGATAATACAATTTTTGTAGCAGGAAATATCATATCATTTTCACGTCTAGAATGAATAATTAGCAGTATTCCTGTCTAATAGTAATAACAAAGAAACTTATTTATGATTAAACGATATCTTTTGTCTCTAGATCTGACAAATACAAAACAATATCTGCAGTGTTCATAAGCTTCTCTCATACAATTATACAAAATAATAACAGTAACGTTTCATATCAAATTTAAACAGCTAAATCTTCAAAACCGTTTATCACAATGGTAAAATAATATAAAAATTGAAAAATTTGAGACATTTTATCTTTTGTCATTGAACTGGAAAAAAATGTGAAAAGCATAAGCTATTTTCAAAAGCTTACAATTTAGCTTTCGTTAATGTTTAGATATTGACAAGTAACTTTATGTAATATTTACTGGGGGAAACTTTAACAAGTTTGTTTCGTAAAAAGAAGAACTGTTAATCCCGACTGTTTTTATCTATTAAGTTATATTTCGCATAACATCTTTCAATTTGACCTTGACATATAACAAACATGATACAATTCAAGAACTTTGTTATACTTATAGTTTTATTGTAGCAACATTGTTAGGGTATTAATTCAATAAAACATTCCTTCAAAATCGGAAATTATATGTTTATACATTATCTAAAAGGTGTAATAAACTATCGTTTTGGTTCGCTTTGTTTAAGAACTAAAATTTGATATTTCTGTTTTTCAATTACAAGGAAACAAATTTTATACATTATTACATCAATTAAGATAATCTGTCGTAAACTTATATCAGATATTTAGTATGTCGAGGTCGAGAAAGTAATGCATTTCCACTGAATTCTCAACAAACAATGAATAATATTCTCTAATCTATATATATATAGTTAGTTAGTTAGTTAGTTAGTTAGCTAGCTAGCTAGCTAGCTAGTTAGTTAGTTAGTTAGTTAGTTAGTTAGTTAGTAAGTTAGTTAGTTAGTTAGTTAGTTAGTTAGTTAGTTAGTTAGTTAGTTAGTTAGTTAATCCAAATCGAATGATTCATCACTAAGAGTGCATTTACACTGAGCAATCTTTTAAATATTCATAAAATCATGTGTTTTAACGATGTAAGAAGATAACTGTCAGCTTTTTAAGGTATTTACCGACAAATAACTATTGTTTCTTACGTTATCTCATTTGTATTCATTAATAGATAGATTCATTGGAGAATGTTTGGTATCGCCAACAAACCACTTGCATCTTCACATAAATACAATGCTGAGATGTTATTATTTCATATTTATGTAGACAATTTAATAAGAATTATGTAAATAACCGTTCAAATATATGAATATCTGTCCACAAGCCAGCCAAAATCTGGAAGCATTGATTGATCTCAGCGAAATCCTTTGATATTTTGCTTTAATATGTAAGTATAGATCATGATTTAGCGTACAATAGTCACATCTTTTCAAACATTTACAGAACAATGTTAATTTACCTATACATACTGTATCCTGTCTAGTTTTGAAGAAACGCAAACGATGACAAAAGATTACGCTTCTCAACATTCTGGCAAACGACAATCTGTTTTTATAGAAACAGTTTGTTTTTATGAGACATGAAACATTGAACATTTTATTTGATTAAACGCCTATATCGGTAACAATTTTCAATGGCGTTGTACAAGGGTACATATAAAACTAATGAATGGATAAAATCTTACTACTATACATTAAAAATATGTGTGAAATCAAGCCAAACAATACAAATAACATTTAGAGAGCTAATTCAAGAACTCCTCCCTCAAAGAGTAAAACTCTTTGGGTCATATTTATCAGTGACGGAGGAAGTCCCTACATACTCAATCATTTAAAATGGCTAATATAAACATTACAGTAACAGAAAAACAGCAAATGTATTGACTTCTACAAATCAGTAACTCCTTTTTGATGTAAATTATGAGAATAAAAGGGAAATCATTCTGCTTTAAATAAAACAGGTTATATAGCCCTTTACGAGGATGGGTCAATATTAAATGCAATATGGTCAATTTGTTTTAACAGAAGAACAAATATTTCACAATTTTCTATTTCAAACCATCGAAATATTCTCCTCCTGGAAGAACGATCTTTACTGAAGTGTTTTTTTTTTAATAGACATCTCTATAATATTTATATGTAAAAGACCGGCCTCTAGCAAGTAGAAATTTTGCAACAGTTCCACGGTTATTTTAATAAAAAATAACGTAAATAATATTCTTGACACTTGACGCTTAACAATAGCCCAAATCTTATTGTTTTATTTTTGAATAGGCATGAAATAGTGAAGCAGCTTTACAACACCCTTCACAATTTTAATAAAACGGTTATTGACAAGTTTATGAAACATTTTCAGTAGTTTTTGAGTTCCTCCTTCTGGTCAGATGTTAGCAAAGGGGTATCAATCAAGTAATTATTCGCCTAACTTTTAAAGATCCTGTTACACAATTTTTCATGTTTTATATCATAAATATGATGCTCAAATTAACATTTATCAATATTGTAAGTTCAAAAAGCATTATTTATAAAGATATTACCGAATTTAAGATAACATTTCATGTAAATAAAGTTAGGTAATTAGAAATTCAATTTCTATAACGTCTAAGTCAATTTTTTCAATAATAAATAAATGCATATATTCTAATGATTACATATAATGTGCACAGATATTTGTACGCTCCCTTCGCAGCTTACTGAATACACTCCCGTTACTTCAGACTTAAGAAGTGAGCGATAGTGGAACATTCGACCGATGCGCAGGAGAGTAAGATATTTTCAGTACATATTTTACATATTCTTTGAAGTTTGAACATTGTTTAAGAGGCATTATAAAATTTCACTTAAATGTGGTAACAACCTCAATTACAACATACAGGATCTCTCAGTGATTTTTCAGAATCGTATGAATTGACCCATATGATATTCCTACGACATGGCCTATCTGGGGAAGCGAAAGCCTGGCGTCTTTGATGATGTCCTCAACATTATGAATGTCCAAACTCCAATATCAGACGAGAATTTACTATTTGAAAAGTTATCATCGATATCATGTCAAAAAATAAAATAAAATTTACAATGCATTTTCATACAATTAGTGTTCAACGAACAATTTCAGTGTAATTTTAAAATTGTTTACTTTTTAGTTACAGATGTAATGTAGCATTATACAGGGTACAGCTGGTCTCATCAAAATGTGAAAGATAATTTCAATTTATTTTGACTCCATAGACACTCCGTTAGACTTGTTCCCTGATTTCAATACATTTTGCCGTAAATTATTTTATTAACAGAAGAATGAATATTGCTTATGTGTAGGAATACCTGAATACGTGTTGCACGTAGAGTGTGAGATAACATTTTCCAAGCACCGCTACTTTAGTAACATTAACGGATTTTTCTAGCCGATTATTGAGAATAGAAAATCCTATCTGATATGCGGGAAAAATCTTCTATAACATTACAGACAAAAGCAAAATTAAATTGTCAAGATGTTTTGCTGTATTTAACTAAACTATTTATTACCAGGAAAAATAAAAGTGCATCATTTGGATGGGAGAAATTGTATTTCTCACAACAATCTTAACTCTGAATTTGATTATAAATAAGGTCATGCCAATGAAGTCTATCTTTGAAAATGTGAGTTATTTCACACGAAACTTAATGAGCCTTGATACTTACCTTTATCATTATTCCAATAGCATTATGTATGAAAAAATGAAGGAGTCAATATATCAGTATCAGTAGAGATCAGAGTAATATTAAACAATAAGACGCCATTGCGCGATAAAATAATCTATGCATGAAAATAAATTCAAAACATAATAAAACAAATACGGAAAAATACCATTTGAAATACATGTTGAAATTGGCTGTTTACCAAGTGACTTACCATGTATAGCAAATATAATGGTTATCACATTTTTTAATGACGGTGTGTTTGCAAGCTGGCTTGGCGTAAAACACCCGTCCCCTAATACATTTCTCGAAATATTTCAAGCACACTTTCAACGTTCAAACAGTTTTGTTATCAGGTTGTCATTGTTTGTAACAAAAACATTTGTTTGCTGAATTATTGCAGGAAATAACAAAAGAATGTGTCTTTTTTTTTCTTTTTTGTTAAATATATAGCATGTTTTGCCATCGACTTTACTGTATTGTAAAAATTCTCGAACAGGGGAGTCCTTTGAGAGGAACGAAAGAATTGTTTAAAGATTAAAATTGAAGACACTGTGTGAGTGTCTTTATGAGAGATAATGACCGTTGTTGCATCCCTTACACACCCTAGCAACGGCTTACAATGTGATAATACTTACTTTAATAATATTATGCATTGGATAAAACGGCTCCAAAAGACCAGAAAGAAATAATACAGCACTAATATTAAGTATGTATTTATATAGCGGTCACATATTCTAAAACACCTGATGTTGTATATTAATAAAATATCTTGAAAAGGGAATCGTACATTATTTAAGTAATGAATTCAATTCGAAATATAAATATATTTATTATTGTTCTATGTTATAACTGAAGTCATGTTTTGCATGAGAAATTACCAAATATGGTAATTATAACGGGTAGCGGTTTATATATAAACCGGATTGTAACGTGTTAAAGTCACTTTGAGATCAGATACAGGCAGTTAAACTAAACTGGTTAGTTTAGTCATGGAAGATAGTTCGAGCAGCCATATTGGGCGTTCACATCATCAGGAAAATACAGTGGAGAGAGAAGATAGAGCACATAGAGCTAGCTATCCAGAATCTGGAGGTAAGTCCCCGGGGGATTCAGCAATTGAAGCGTTTTCTTTATTTAGAGATTATCTTGATACTCAGTTGAAGGACTTTAAAAAGGACTTGAATTTAAAATTACATGATACTCCTTCAGTCAAGTTCAAGAAAGAAGCTAATCGTATTCAGTATGAGTTTAATCTTGATATTCTTCGCAGTTTAGAAGTGGTTGCTGACGATAAATTTCGTATTCCTGCCGAAATTTTCGAGAAAGTGTCCAGTGTTATTTCCAAGGTCAAACATAGAAATAATTTAATTAAAGTAGCTGATAGTTCCCCGGGGGGCTGGCTTACCGTCAATGAATATGAAAAGCCAGTTCTTGGATCAGATAGTGAGGACGAAAAGCGCCTTAAACAGGCGGAAGCCAGGGCTGTACGGAAAATCAAAGCAACCACTTCTACTAGTAAACCTTCTTTCAATCCTTATAAACGTCCTGTTTCTACTTTCATGCCGAGAGAATCGCCTTCCGATACTGTTCAATGGGGAAAACCGGCTTATTCCTTTCGTGGCACATCAAGACAAAGCTCCATCAGAGATATTTGCTTCGCATGCGGACAGCGAGGACATTTCCGCCATGAGTGTAGATTCTGGTCAAATTCAACGAAGCGCTTTACACCGGACAACTTCAAAAGAAGCTCAAGTTCAGAAAGCTCCGCAGATAAACGAACAGATAAATGATAAGTATTTTTTCAATGCCCTTGAAAGAGAGTTCTTTGAATATCAAGAAACTTTATTTTCACCAGCAGAAAACAATACCTGTGTTAAAAGTCGTTTAAAGAAGCACTTTTCTTATTGGAATGACATTGGTTGCAATTCTTATATTCTTGACATAATTGAAAATGGTTATTAAATACCATTTCTTAATATGCCTGAAAGGTCATTTTCAAAACACAATCGATCAGCTTTAGAAAATTTAGAATTTGTAGATTCTGCAGTTGAAGAACTTGTTTAAAACAAATGTGTTATTAAAACTCCTTTTATGCCTCATGTAGTTAATCCGCTTTCTGTTTCTATTAATAAGCAAGGAAAGAAAAGGTTAATATTAGATTTAAGGATAGTCAATAAACATCTTTGGAAAGATAAGTTTTCCTTTGAGGATTGAAAAAATGCTTTAGAATATTTTGAAAGAGAGTCTTTTTCTTATAAATTTGACATTAGTAAAGCTTATCATCATATTGATATTTTTTATGAACATCAAACTTTCCTAGGTTTTTCGGTATGGGGTGATTTCTATTGTTTCACCGTTTTGCCATTTGGATTAAGTACAGCTCCCTTTGTTTTCACAAAATGTATGCGTGAATTAGTGAAATTTTGGAGAAGTAACAGTATAAAGATAGTCATGTTCCTTGATGATGGATTTGGTACTAATAGTACATATGGTTCTGCTAAGAGTGATGCTTTAGTAGTTAGAAATTCTTTACTTTCAGCAGGATTTGTATTAAATGACGAAAAATCTATTTGGGTCCCGGTCCAAGAATTAGAATGGACAGGTATATTTTGGAATAGTTCTGGTTTTTATATCAGTATTCCTGATAGAAGAATAAAAGACTGTTTAGATACTATTAATTATATCATTGAGGGTCTGCCTTTCGTTTCTGCAAGGCGTTTAGCTCAATGCACGGGTAAACTTATTTCAATGTCGCCCGTTCTAGGTAATTTAACTAGGCTTTTGACTAGATATTTATATCGAGAAATAGAGAGTAGAACTTCTTGGGATTCTGTTTACAAGTTAAGTTCTGAAAGTTCTTGCTTAGAAGAATTAAGATTTTGGTTAAAGAATTTGCAACTTTCTAATAGAAGGTACATTTTGCAATATTCACCAACACATACTGTTGTTTATTCTGATGCTTCGGATTATGCAGCAGGCGCTTTTATAGTTAATTTTGAAAATAGTATTTTTCAATCCGTTTGGTCAGATTATGAAAAACAACAGAGTTCTTCTTTCAGAGAGTTAAAAGCCGTTAAACTGGGGCTTAGGGCTTATTCTCAGTTGTTAAAAGGTAAAACGGTGAAATGGTTTTCTGATTCACAGTCATGTGTGCATATTGTGCAATGTGGTAGTACCAAACTTGACTTGCATGAAGAGCCCATGAAAATTTTTGAACTTTGTTCAAAGTTTAATATAGATTTACAAATTCAATGGGTTCCAAGGGAGCAAAATAAATTCGCTGATGAAATTAGCAAATTCAGGAGTACAGATGAATGGCAGGTGACAGGGGCGTTGTTTGAATTTTTAGATAAAATGTGGGGACCGCACGATATTGATCGTTTTGCCACTTATCTAAATAGAAAGGTTAAACGTTTCAATTCAAAATTTGTTGATTTCGAAACTGAGGCTGTGGATACGTTTACACAGTGTTGGGGCAAATGCAACAACTGGCTGGTTCCTCCCGTACGTCTGGTACCTAAAACCATTTCTCATTTGTTACATTGCAAAGGCAGAGGTACTATCGTTGTTCCAAAATGGCCTAGTTCTCCATTTTGGCCATTGTTATTTAAGAAAAATTTTGTTCACAAGGATTTCATTTCAGAAGTCCTTGAATTTAGTGAAGGGCAAGATATATTTACTAAAACTGAAATTGACGGGAGTATTTTTGATTCTAGCAGATTTAAAAGTAAAGTCTTAGCTATAAGGATAGAATCAAATAATGCTGGTTGTTTTTGTAAATGTTAAGAATAGTACACTTTTATATTTTTCAAAAATATATATTTACAGGTGATTAAATCTTGAATTTCGTTTCTGCATATGATTTTCGTGATTTTCTTATTAGTGGAAATCGTGGGAGTTGCTTGTTCATATAATTAGGTCAGACACGGAAATTAATGGGTTAACTGTCCATTCTATTTTAACCTTGTGGTAGACTGGAAAGTTTTAGATAAAAAACTGCAAATTAAACATGCTAGTTTTTTTAGCAAAATGCTAAATAATTTTGAAAGTGCTGATTGTGTTTCTAGAAGTTATATTAAATATTATGAAGGTGGATTGCCTTTTTAGTTTAGCGGAATGCAAGTATTTGGAGCGGAATACTTGTTTTATAGTAGCGGAATGCTAAAGTATTTTATAAGCGGAATGCTTTTTGTATATTTGCGGAATGCTAAAGTATTTTATAAGCGGAATGCTTGTTTTATTTAGCGGATTGCTAAAGTATTCTTGTAAGAAGAAAAGGTTTGTTATATTTAGGGGAATGCTTAAGACTGTTTACGAGCGGACATTTGTTACTTGTTACATGGTTTTCTTAAAGGAATGCTGTTAATATTTAATAGAAATTTATACCATGTAATGCCTAGGTCACAAATAAAACGGGCGCCGTCCGATTAAACGATTTTTATAAAATCGGCAGATTTTTTGATGTCGTGGACGCCGGGCGATTTTAAATCTGATACCTTGCGTGGTCATGAATGAAACAGTCGTCGGGCGATTTTTGCCGAGTAGATTTTACAGAAAGAATTGAACGGATCAGGCGGTCGCCGCCCGATGTCCGTACGGCGCCTGTGCGATTTAAAAGTGAATCGGACGGTTGCCGCGGGGGCGCCGGGCGACAATGACTTTACATTTATTGTTCTAGATAAATCAGCGAGTTGTAATTATGCCAGCAAAGAAGTCATCTGCCAAAGCCTAGGGGAAAGCCAAGGAGTTGGTCCGTGTTGTTTACAACGAGTCACCAACGACCAGTATCGAGGCCGTAGAAGGCGAAAATCAATCAGACATTCGCATGGACATTGAAGAAAAAATTCATGTTTAATAGTATTCAAAAGAAATTCACAAATATATTTTTGAGACAATTACAACTTCTTCAAGCTGAAATTACAACAAACACAAGCAGCCCGGTCGCCGGATGACAAAACGATGACCGCCCGGTGCCTGTACATGAATCGTCCGGGTACCAGGCGATAATCGTTTGACAACTTGTCTCTATTCAGGCACCGGGCGGGGCCCGGCCGATGTCCGCCCGGACGTCTTTTAAATCGGACGCTGTTTTAGTAGAAAAAAAATCGCCCGATCAAAAAAATCATCGCCAAGTCGCCGCCCGGCGACCGAACGATGTCCGCTCGATGATATTTATACTCAGTGACCCCAAAAATTATCGTCCGGCCGCCGTTAGCTTTTAAGTATTACTTAAAACTCGAAGGCGCCCGCCCGATGAGCAAAATTTTCAGCTGCTGCCGTCCGATAGTCACTGCCGCCGGACGGACGCCGGTCGATATTGCGATTTTTTGGAGAAACAGACGCCGCCCGGTGGCATTTTCTTATTTGTGACCTAGGCTTTAGCGATAAAATTTTGTCGGATTTACATAGCAGAATGTTAAAACATATCAAACTGAAATAAAAATTTTTAAGTTACATTTTAAAGCGTTTTTGTTGGCTTTACTTCTTATTTCATGTCGTAGAATTTAAAATATATAAAGTTTAATAAGATTTTATGTTTATTTTCACTAAAATTTTACATTTAGAGATGTTCTTAAAGTGGGAGTATGGAAACAAATCGATACTGTGTACGTATATCCGGATCTTTCTGCAGCACATGAAAATCTTAAGAAGTTTTCTTTAAAATCTAAAGCTTTAAATACTTTAAAGTCTTATGAACAATATTTTAAACATTTTTGCAAATGGTGTAACAAGTATAATTTCAAACCAGTTCCTTCTTCTGATTATCATGTTTCACTCTATCTTTCTTGCATGGAAAGAGATAATCCTTCCCAGTCCAAAATTAACAGTGTGCTTTATGTAATTTCCCATGCACATAAATTAGCAGGATTCGTAAATCCTAGTTAATTTTGTTAAAGAAGGAATCTTGAGATCTTTAAGCACCATGAATTGTTCTAAAGAGTCGCTGACTAATCAGTCATTACAATTGATAGTAGAAAAGTATAAAGATACTACATGTCACATAGATTTGAGATTCGTGACAATGACTTTATTAAGTTTTTCTGGTTTTTTATTTTTTATTCGGGAGTCAAAAACTGACCAATTGAAAAAAGGTCAAACAATTTTGGTTAGTAAAACTAATAATGATACTTGTCCAGTAAAAGCTCTCGAGAAATACTTGCTTTTATCAGGCATCTCTGACAGTTCAGAAGAATTTTTGTTTCGAAAAATTTATTTTTGTAGTAAATCAAAAGCTTATAAGCTAAGGGAAGGAAATCCCATTTCCTATACAAGAGCGAGAGAAATATTTTTGTATCATATTTCTCTTTTAGGGTTAGACAGGTCAACATTTGGTCTCCATTCATTAAGGTCTGGGGGAGCTACAGCTGCAGCGCTTAAAGGTGTGCCTGATAGGCTTATCAAGAAGCATGGTCGGTGGAAAACCGATAAAGCTAAAGACCTTTACGTTAGAGAAAGTGATGACTTGAGACAGTCTGTTTCCTTAAATTTAGGTTTATAAAATTGTAAGAAGTAATATTTATGGTCGTTTTGTTTCACTTCTTGAGTAAGTGTTTAATTTTTATTCAATATTCACGCTTTTTGTTTTAAATTGAAAATTTCTGGGTTTTTGGGTGCCCGTTCTTTTTCTTTTTATGCCTGTATTGACCACACATATATAAGTGTTTGTTGTTTTTTCAAAACAAGGTTATAATATTGTTTAATTATAAATGATTTATGTTTGTCTGAAGGAATTGAAAGAAAACATAAATATATTTATTATTGTTCTATGTTATAACTGAAGTCATGTTTTGCATGAGAAATTACCAAATATGGTAATTACAACGGGTAGCGGTTTATATATAAACCGGGTTGCAACGTGTTTAAGTCACTTTGAGGTCAGATACAGGCAGTTAAACTAAACTGGTTAGTTTAGTTTCTCCACCCACCCGCCCATTTTTTAAGATTACTGTTTTGATTCTTTGGAATTTGGTTACAGTAATGTTTTGATTTAACAACAACAACAACAGTTTATTTGCATTCATGTTTTTACAACATAAGAGCTATATACATGAAATAATATACAGTGCTTCAAATTTAATATATAGATATTCAAATTTGTTTCATGTTTTATCATGTTAATTAAACTATTTCAGATCGAACGAATTGTCAAATTTTCTGTAAGATTGAAGCAGAGTGAAAGAATATTCATCCATATGTAAAGGATTTAAAAATGTGTTTTAGTGTAGATGGTTTCTTGGACATTGAAAGTGATTTTATCCCTTCTCATATTTTGTGTTAAGAGATGGACTCATCAAAAGACCATTTTTCTGGTCATATTTTCGCGTAGAAACCATCGCAGTGTGCTTGTGTTTTGTAATTATCAATGAATAAAATGCCTGTATTGACCACACCTATATAAGTGTTTGTTGTTTTTTCAAAACAAGGTTATAATATTGTTTAATTATAAATGATTTATGTTTGTCTGAAGGAGCTGAAAGAAAACATAAATAATACTAGTATCTACATACTCGTAACTAGAATGTGAGTGCTTGATAAATACCAA